CGATCAATTCATGGTTATTAAGCACGTGAACAATTTCATATCACAAACTCTTAATTGTAGATTACACTGTTAACGACATAGTCACACTAAAGTAATCTTTAAATGTACGCTAAATCATCTTTCTGGAGAGGGATGGTTTATAACTGTTAGATGGAACGAATAATGGTTAAGATATTGTCTCCTACGAATGAACTTCATATAGAATCTGTGAATTATTTCTGTTATTAAATCCGAGTGATTTTTTGTACAATACGAGCTGTTGGACGCATTCTTCAACACAACATTTTCTTATGTAAATGATTTCAGTTAACAGTTGCACATTTAATCTATGGCATTAAATAACTGCGAAAATTTAGCTATCGTCCATTAAGAAAAGTGGTAAACGAATCAAGAAACAAATTTGAGAATAATGAGTTTTTAGTTGGTGTATTATTTTGGGTAAAAAATATTGATAGGTCCTAGGTTCGAATCTCGTGTGGTGGGATCGTGTGTGTGTACTTCTGATGAGTCTCACAATAGGATGAAACGACCCCTCTAGGTCTTTCGTAGTGGTCTAGCTTCAATTGACTCATGATCTCAACTATTAAAATTACTATAATATCCACTAAACCCCTTTTGATACAAATAATATTGACTTCAAAGGAAAAACAAAAATTAATTTTTCATTTCTATCTTTCCATGATTTTGTGGTATTTAAATGTTTCATTGTTATAGTAAAACTAAACTAAATAATTATTTAGTCCTATCAGTAATCATTTTATAATTGAAATCATGAACCGTTCAATGTTATACCATCATTAAAAACCTGGAAGCACTGGAGGGCCGTTTCTTCCTAGTATGGGACAACTCAAAATTGCTCATCAACAATCCCAATGGTTTTAATGTCTAACTTCAATCAATCCACGAGATTGTCTCCGGTGGATGACTGCCTCACACCGAACACGAATGAACCAAACTGGTTACGGCTGCTCAAAAGAATAACCTCTCGAATCTAGTCACTAGTGAGCACACGATAAGTATCAGTGTATGGTTGTAAGAATCATTGAGTTTTAAATGAGTTTATGAAATGATCAATGTAAGACCAACATTGAAAACTTCCAGTTAGACATTAACATCAATGGATGCCGGCTTAGTGATCCAGAGGTTAGGCATTTGCACACGCGACCGAATGTGTCCGGGTTCAAATCCTGCATGCTGTATCTTCTATTCGCACCTCTAAGGAGTCCCATGCCAGGACGGAACGGCCTTCAATCGCTTCCAAATTTTCAGTGGTGATTTAGCATTAATTGGTTCATGGTCTCAATTAAAACCCTATACTGATAATTGCCTTATGATGAGCTACGTGTGTGAAATTTAAGAAAATACTGGGTTATAAAAATATAATACAGTGATTTTATGGATACATTAATAAACTTATCAGCATTCTTGGCAATAATTACATACTACATAAACATAAAATATTATAGTGCTGTAGGCAGTCAAATTTGGTAGTTTTAACGTAGGTAATTAGGTTTCATTGGAATATATTTATTGTATGAATGAAATATCAAATTGGTGTATGTAGACATGAACATTTTCTCTTCAATTTTGGACCAGTATATGTTAAGTATGATAATTAGTACTATATACTATTTTGAAAATATCCCACTATAACTGATTATTTAAACTTAGTTTTAGAAAGTCACCTTAAAACTAAACATGAATTGGATCGGGTTGATTCTTTACGTAATTTGTAAATAGCCCAAGTTTAAATATCATCTTCCATAAAGCTATTGTGATTTTTTTTTAATGTTCACTATACTTACTTACTAACTTAGGTAAGTAAGTTCACTATAAATACAACTATATACTATGGCCTAGTAGTTAAGCGCCCGCACATGAGACTGATAGGTCCCAGTTTCAAATCTCACAAAGTGAGCATCATCAATACGCACTACTGAGACGTTCTACAATACAACGAAACAGCTGCCCAGTACTTTTATGGTTTCCATGGTGATCTAGTTTCAGTTAACTCATAAAACTCACCTATCAAATTACCATAATATACACAAAAACCTTATTCTGATATCAACTATAATTCAGCTTATTATGTTACCTATTTATTATAAACAATTTTGTATTCCAATAGTTCAAATCATTAGTCAGTTGAAGCTAGACTACCTTGGAAAATCTGAAAGCACTTAACGATCGTTTCGTCCTAGTATGGAACTCCTCAGCAGTGTGAATCCACGATCCCGCCCCCCCGTAAGATTCGAACCCAGGACCTATCAGTCTCGTGCGCGAGCGCTTAACCACTAGACCACTGAGCCGGCATCTCCACATAACCCTTTATAATAATAATCATATGTTCACTAGTGACTGACTTCAAGATGTATTTCCTGGAGTTCTAGTGAAAAGCAGTGACCAGTAGAGTTCAACCAGGTCTGTTATAAGGCAGTAACTCACTGATGACAATGGTGGATATGTGACTCAATTTCGTGAATAAGTTGAATTTAAACATTAACACCGTTGAATGAAGATCGGCTCAGTGGTCTAGTGGTTAAGCGCTCGCGCGCGAGGCTGATAGATCCTGTGTTCGAATCTTGCGGGGGGGGGGTGGAATCGTAGATGCACACTGGTGAGGAGTCCCACAATAGGATGAAACGGTTGTCCAGTGCTTGCAGATTTTCCATGTTGACCTAGCATCAATTGACTCATGATCTCAACTATTGAAATTACTAAAAAATCTCCACAAAACCCCTTCTCATTTTATATTCTTCCTTTTTTTAGCTGTGAAAATGAAAATCAATCATTAGGTGATCGTATTCAATTAATCGATGGAATACATGTTGATGATCCATTAATTATAGAATATTGTGAAAATAAAATTATAACCAATAATCAACAAAATTTGTATACAACAATTAAACCTGAATATTTTATTTCATCAAAGAATTTAATGATAATAATATTTAAAAGTGACCATATAACTGAACCAAATGAATTAGGTTTTAAATTATTTTATAGTTTTGAACTAAAAGATCAAAATTATATAAAACATACTTATAAAGAAGAAAAAGAAAGAAAAGAAAAAGAAGAAAAAGAAAAAGGAAAAAAAGAAAACTATTTAACGATAACTAATCAAAATGGAATTATTCAAAATAAACCGGTTAATTGTTCAAAGTTTAGTAAGTGAAGTTATTAAAAATGGGGTTTTTTGTTTGTTTGTTTGAATCAATTTAAAAGTTCCACATAGAAACATACATACAGTATTGAATAATAATTAAATTATAAATATAAAGAATAATTGACAATGAACATTTATTAATCATGATTTGAATTTACAGTAATAAAATTGTCGGTTATTTATTTTCTTTTGTTAAAGTATATGATACTGTTATAAAACATTAGAAATCTTAATTTCTACTCATTGAGATATTATTAACTATTACAATTGATTAATCACTGGGTGGTGATCTATCTCATGTATATCAGGTCCTTTTTAGTACAGATTGAATACTATCGACCAAGTTACAACGTGGCAATTAGACTAGGTGACTCGATATGGCGTGCATTATGTTGAAATAAGATGGTGATTGGAGGTAGTCAACGGGAAACTCTGGCCTCAGGTTTCGTGCTACTTGGCACTCATCAGCATAGTGCACTTGTAATCTTGAGGGAACTGATGCTCCCTGATGGATTCGATCCCGTGTTACCCGGCCTCGATCTGCACTAAGAAGGACCTAACATACATGACGTTGATCACCACCCAGTGATCAATCAATTGTAAATACAGCTCAGTACTACAGAAGACCATTCGCGGGTCGGATGGCTCAGTGGTAACGTCTCTGGCTGTGAAGCTGGGCGACACGGGATCGTATCCGTCAGGGAGCATTAGTTACCTCACGATTACAGTTACACCTTGCTGACGAGTGCCAAGTAGCACGAAACCTAGGTGCAGAGTTTCCTGTTGACTACCTCCAACCATCATCTCGTACTTTAGTTTTTTTCTCTTAATACACTTCAAAGATCCATGAATCGGAAATTAAACTTCACATTTTTCAAAACAATTTATATGGATGCTGATCATTTACTCTTAAAGACTTTGGGATATGGTGTGTCCACACAACACTCTACAGTATTACAGGATCAGTAGATAAAATTCAAGTGTGTAAAAGTACTGGTAACAAAGATGAAAAAAAAGAGATTATATCTTAAAAAAAATAATAATAATCTAAATTTCTGTTACCCAGTTATGAAATAATCCAATGACAATCACTGCACTGTTAAATTATCATATGCTCATAAATCAAGCATTTTACTGCATAAAATGTAAAAGAAAATTCATCTATTCTAACTAATACTATCTAAGTAGAATATTTTTAGAACTGTTACTTATTTAGTGTTATATTCAGTCAGAAAGCCAGCAATAACGTAGAACTTCGTACGTACGCACATCAGTTCGAGTTGCCATACCACGTAAGCACAGAGATGTATAGTGGTAGAAGTAGTAAAAGTATAAGCAGTAGTCAGAAAAATCAGGGTGTGAAGATGTTATTCAAGAAGTATAATCCAGTGAAATAAATTTGGAAAGAGAAAAAAAGGGACGTGAATAATTCCGAAGATTAGAATTTGGGAGAACACAAAGAGCGGTTGCACCTGCGCCATTTCAAATGATTTTTGAATCCAGATCTCTAACCATTAGTTGATATTGTCTCGCGGATCCCAACCAGGTAGTCTACACCTACCAAACATGACTCAGTTTACTTGTCAATGACTTCATGGATCTGTGCCGTGTTTCGATCTGGCCACTCCTAGCTTTCTTCCAACCTACACCTGGTTAGTGTTATATAAAGACAGTAAAAAGCAATGAACACTTTTTATCGAGGGGATCAGTTGCTTAATATGTTTAAAAATGTTTACTTTAAAATCAACCTGCAATTGTGTATTTATAATACATATATGGTGAAATTTATGATATTCACTCTTATGGTATTTTCTTTGTCTTTTTCTCATTACAGCACTTATCACTGAAATTAGTTTAATTCTGCCTATAATCATATGTTTCCAATTGAATGAAAACAGATAACGTAGTGAATCATGGATATGTTTCTAATACATCTGGTGAAACTAGGTTATTATACAGGTCACCATAACAACCAGAAACAAGAAGATTTTAATAAATAATTATATATATTTACATATTTATATGCTTGATCTTTTGACTATGAAACAATGGTGACTTTTCTATTTACTCTTTCATTCAATCTATAAAATTCGTTAAAATTCTAGATGAGCGTCATTCATCTCCCCCCTCTTTCTCTCTCTCTCTCTCTCTCTCTCTCTCTCTCTATATATATATATATATATATATATATATATATATATATATATATATATATATATATATTACATTGTATATAAGTCAAATTGTACATATTGAACAGTACATTATACTGTACATCTCTTTTTGGTTTCTCTATTTACATTTTACACAACAATAGATGCACATATTTTAAAACTTCTATATTTTCAAATATATTTTCATCTGTTTATTTATGTCATAGGTAATAAACATTTTTTTCTTTTCATTGTATAATAAACATAGAAACACAAGATAGTAACGTAAACACCAAAAAAATGAAGAGATAAATAACCGTTTTTATTGATTTTTCTCTTATAAATATATTTAGTTACATTGTTAGTTGTTCGAAATTAATGATCAGCATTCCACTAGAGTTCTGCATGGATTCATTCGTTTATTCTATTTCCTTATTGAAAATGTTTAGTAATTTAATCAATAAAATATTTCGTGGATTATATTTGTATATATTAATAGTTGTTATGTAATACAAGGTATACGGTGACGCAACTTCGTAGATTGGTTGAGGTTAGACGTTAACATCATTGGATGCCGACTGGCTCAGTGGTCTAGTTGGTTAAGTGTTTGACGCCAGACTGATAGGTCCTGGGTTCGAATCTCATGGGGTGCAGGATCGTGAATACGCACTACTGAGGAGTCCCGTACTAGGACGAAATGGCCTTTCAGTGCTTCCAGGATTTCCATGGTGGTCTAGCTTCAATTGACCCATGATTTCAATCTGTGAAATACAAGGTATTGTCTAGAAGAAAGAAGATATTTAGATAATAAGTCACTCAAATCTGGTCATATACAATATTATTGACTAACATTAAGTAATCAGTTCCTTTGATCAATTCAAACGTAATACTATATAATTTATAATGATCAATATCAGAGTAGTTAACTAAGACGTATTTGGATGGAAAGTCATGATAAGATAGTAACGTTTTAAGTGTGTATATGTTGCTTGGCCTTTAGCATTCAATATTCAGTGCTCAAATAATTGTCTGTGTCAAATACGAATGTATATTGATTAAACTAGAAATTGATATTCATTACTCAAGCAATGATATGTTTTAAATAATTGACTGACAAACATCTACATCAAAGACAGTGTGATCACACAAATGTACAGTATAATGTGTATGCATTAAATTCATTATTGTCATAGAAGAAACTATAGCAAATCTCCTACAACCAATTTCGATTATGGTTGATTTTGGTTAAGTCTTTATATTAACTTAACAGACAATGTTATTTGAACAATAGCAATTCACATATATTCTTTGTACTATTATGGTCATAATCATATCTGTATAAACGTGTACGCTTGATCACATGACAGATTCTAGCCAAAATGTTGTTAGGTTAAATATCGTTTGATGAGTCATTCTCTTACCCATTTATATATGGTGTAGTCGAATCCTATTATTAGCTTTCGCTTTGCCTTGCTATGCGCTCATGAGATTTGACTATAAATTTGACTCTGCACACGTTCGCCTCCCTTGTTCGAAATCTCTTGATGTGCTTATAGCTTTGTGATCCTGCTGTAGTTACCGCTCCTTATTGCCTTCTGATATTGAACACCATTGTGACTTATATAGTAACGGTGAAGTATATGTAGTTTGACAACACTTTAGCCAGTAACATCTATAATTGAATCGTGCACACCCAGTGAAACCAAAAGTCAGAAGCAAAGAGGTTCGAAGATATATTTGATAGGCTATCAATATATCGAGGAGTGACTGCTCTAAAATGGCTAGCATTTGCGAGAGAAGTTGAGTACGGCGTTTCCACTCGTGATCTGGTGCGAATGAATGGCCGAGCACCTTCAGCTCGGTGAGTTCATTAAAACTAATCTGGTTAGCATTAAATGTCGAAGATTTAAGGAACTATTGATCTTAGTGATTTATTTACCACTACAATGATTACAAAGTTGACTGATTAACGAACCAAACGCACTACAAGTTTTCAACACTATGTTGTTTCAACATAACAATTCGAGCAGTTGTAAATATACAAAACAAATAATCGTTTAATTAACATTATTGCTTACTTTAAAATGCATATGTCCATTATCAAGAATTCAATACTTCCTGTTTGTCCATTAGCATAAACTTCAGCAAGATGAAACATATTCGATTGAAAAACCAATTCGAATATTTTGTAATATCAACAAGTAATCTAACTAACTGTTAATAATAACTGTAATATCAATATCTTCATGATTATTTAAAACATCTTTTCTCAATATTCTGATTTCATCACTTATGATTGTTAAATATTTATCTCAGAAGGGTTTTTGTGGATATTATAGTAATTTCAATGGTTGAGGCCAAGCGGTAATTGAAGCTAGATCACCATGTAAATCTGGAAGCACTGGAAGACTGTTTCATCCTATTGTGGGACTCCTCACCAGTGTGCATCTACGATTCCGCCCCCCCGCAAGATTCGAACCCAGGACCTATCAGTCTCTCTAGCGAGCGCTTAACCACTAGACCACTGAGCCGATCTTCATCCAATGGTGCTATTGTCTATGTTATGGCTTTAAGTTGTGGTCGATTTTTATCCTGTGCTAATTGTTGTGTCCTTGACTGGAAAAATTAGAGAGCAGCGTATTTGTCGATCGATTCAATGACACGTAAACACGTACGGACGGCCTAGAGTCTCGATTGGTCTCGCTTCCCTGTCTAACCCAGTCAATTGAGTCCAGAACACAAGTCACAGCCTCGGAGATATGAATCATTATATTTCAAACATACTTTGTTTATATACCAATCAAGCATGCCACATCGTACCATAAAATAGAAAATAACATTTTGTACAATATTCAACAAGTGAACAGATATCGACCAATAGAAAATGTCCATCTAAAGTCCAAGGACACCATTGGACTTAACATGATAATTATTGGTCTATTCCTCCGCAACCACAACAGTCTAGATTCAACTAATCCATGAAATTGAGCCAAATATCCACCATTGTCATCAATGAGTTTCTATTATCTCACAACAGACCTGGTTGAACTCTACTGGTCACTGCTTTTCACTAGAACTCCAGGATATACCTCTTGAAGCTAGTCACTGGTGCACATATGTTGTGTCATATCAGAAGGGATTTCTATGAATATTATAGTAATTTCAATGATTGAGATCATCAGTTAATTGAAGCTATTTGTCACACTAACAAGTAGACAATGTCTTTTCGAGTCTGTCTATTTATTTATTATTAAATAACAACCCTTACCATCTACTATTACATTACCATAATCAGTAGTTTATTTAGACTATCATTAATAAACGGTAATTTTTGTTTAACAATATTTACATTACAAATTTTATGTTTACATTTCTAACTTCATCTTATCAATCTTATGATTTTTACTTGGATAAGGGTTTGTTTATTGATAAAATTATAATCATTATCAATTTATCAGTTTAGATTAACAATTGCTTAACTAAAAGTTTCTCTAATATGATTCTCTTATTCAATTAATAAACAAAACGTGTGATAGTGGAGAAGAATTTTAGCTCAGATGGATTTTGTTGATCGAGTTTTGTTTTCTGAGTTGGATGGTTTGGTCGTGAGCTTTCATCCTTCTTCTACCTGAAATTTGTGCTGATGATGTCGTTCAGAAGAAGGATGAAAGCTCACAATCAAACTGTCTAGCTCAGAGAAGAAAAGTGTATCAAACAAAACGTGAATTGATTAACTGTTTATCGTAAATTTGTCAAATAGCAAACAAGGAAATTATAATTTGAAGTAAGACTACAGTTTATATATGAATCAATAAGGTGTACGATAAGAGGTCTTGGATTTTGGTGTGAAATTCACTCATCCATTTATCTAAATAGAGTTTTGACATTATAACTGATGTCATTTCGTAAGGAAAACTCTAAATCTAATTTCTAACCTTAACCATCAAATGTAAATCATAATTCTAATTCCTCACATTGATTTATAACGCTCATTTCGTTCTAGTTATTAGGTGGACACTTTCAAGGTCACTTTAGCGTCGTTCAAATTATGGTCTCACCTCTATGATCACAGATCTGAGAGCTACTACATTGTTTGATTTTTTTCGGTGTTGGATAGTTCAGTGCAAAAAGTGATCAATAGGATAGATGTTTGAGATTTTAAGCCTTAACATTAACCCCATTCGTTACAAGCACACCGATGTGAATAATTTTAAAGCTATAGAATTAAGAACTTTGTTGATAGTTTATTTAGTTACAAGTATTAATAACATTCATGTAGTTAACTGATGTTTTACAGTGATTCGCTTAATCAAACACTGTAAAATTCTATTATCAATTGTGTTGACAAACATATTTTCCTCACATGTTTCTGACACTGTATCAGTGTGAATACAGAACTAGAATGTAAAGAAACTGTGAAAAGTCTGATAACTATTACCACAGGTCATGTAATGGGAATGATAACTTTAGGTACTGATAGTCTGTTGTTTTCGGTCACATATTTGATCAACAATAACTCCGTATGTAGTTCTTCTAAGTTTACTGGCGGTTCCAAGCCAGGGTTGGGCATGATATCAGTAATCCCATAAAGTAGGAAACAATCTTGTTAAGAAAACGTTAACCAGAGGGAGATAAATATTTGATCAACAATCTGAATTGATTTTTTAAAATTTCTATATTAGTATATAATGTGAGAAAACTTGTTAAACTCTCTAATTTGATAAATGTTATTGTTACATTTACCTAAAAGGTGATTATATGCTTGTGTATCACCAAATATGGAGAAAATGAGTACCGAGGAAACCATATTCAGTTGGTAACAAGATGGTAAATGATATCTATTTACTGAGATTATGAACCTTTTTCTTAGGTCATATATATTTAGAAAGAATGAAAATTTGTTTTACAACGAGAAACTTCTTCTTTATCCACTTGTATGAAGGCTTCAATTTTGCAAAGATACATTTATTCAAGGCGCTATATATATGATGTATGCTACTTTATTTAACAGATA